CAACAATTGAAAAGACCATTGCCTGAATCAGGCACACATTAGTCTTTAAATCAGTATCATTGCTCCTTTGCACTTTATAGAGAGGTCCTTGACAGAGAACTTTCCTGAAGCAATATGTCTTTTGATTTCTGGGCTGTTGGGGACAAACGCTGTTGACTGTGGATCCAAGTAAGATGAAATCTTTGACATTTTCATTTTTCCCCCTCCATTTATTATGATTTTGCCTATAGGCCCAGAGGTGAATTTATTTTCCTCTTTGATAGTGAGATACAATCCATAATGAAAGTTGTAATCTTTGATCTTCTCCAGCAAGCTCTTCAAGTCTTCCTCACTTTCAGCAAGCAAGGTTGTTTTGGGAATGATATCCTAAGCATACTGACTAGATAACTATGGAGAAAGCATCCACCTCTGATGCACACCGCCTTTCTTTATTTTAAACCATGCAGTATTTTCTTACTCAATTTGGACAACTGCTTCTTAGTCTAGGTATAGGTTTCATATGAGCACAGTAAGCATCCTTTGCATAGTCAATAATACACAAATGTACATTCTTTTGTTATTCTTTGCTTTTGGTCAAGATCCAGTGGATAACAACAATAATATTTCTGGAGCCACAGCCTCTTTCAGACCCACCTTGACCTTCTGGCAGTTCTCTATCAGTGTACTGTTCTAGCCATTTCTTAATAATTATCTTAAGCAGTATTTTCCTTGCAAATTATATTAATGATATTCTTGCTGGGCTATGCAGGTGCAGGACATCAAAGAAACAATTAATAAACTTCATTTTCCTTAACATTTATTGCCACATTTCTCAAAATATTTTAACTGTGCATGAAATACAATATTTGTCACAACTGGGGTTTTTTTGCCAATTATGAGAGAAATTAAGGATCCTATGCCACAGTTGGATGGGTTTATTTCCTAATCTTTTGTGTGTGTCCTTTCATGAAAGTGAAGTACAGAAACATATTTGCATTCAAGGGGGAAAAATAAGTGTGATAAAAGGAGCCAGATATGTATAATTAGTGACAGAATGATAGAAAGATTTTAGTAGCCACCAGAAACTAAGAAAG